CCCCGGCTCCAGGCTCGTCCTGAACCCCCTGCTGCCGCTGCTCTCCCCGGTCGTCTACCGCACCGCGTGGGCTTTTTGGCGGGGTCGGGCAGGGCTGGGCAGACTTTCACACAATCCCTGCCCATGGAGCTGGAGCCGGCGACGGGTGGCTGTGCCTGCTCCTCCCTAAGTCGACGCCGGCGTGCTGTTCTGCATACACTCATGCGTGCGAGCTGCAACCGATGAGCAGTCTGGACACGGTGCACCTGACTTGACTTGGTAGCGGTATGGGTACCTTTGTCATCCTCTGACCACGGACGGATCTCAGGGGTCCGGGACACCCAGCGGTGCGATTTGTTCGTCAGTCGGCGGCCCGAGTGGGTGGCCACATGTGAACCCTACCCCCCCCCTCATTTCTGAAGGCAGGGTGGGGGCTCCCTCCGCTCGGGAGCTCCCGAGCGAAGCGATCCCCTTCCCCCCTCAGAATTCGTGGGGGGTGGGGGCAGGGTTCACATGTTGATGGGCAAACTTTCCACCACCACTACCATTTGTAGGACGGGGGAGAAGGTACACACGTGTGTGTATATATATACAGACTATATACGTCGACATCTGGGGTGACAGTTCTGCCTGGACGTGCGGCGGAAAGCCTGACAACAAAATGACTCTGATGCCTATACCACCATCCCTGAGGGGGAGGAGGGAGGCGGAGGAGGTCCTCCTCCTCCTCCTCCTCCTCCTCCTGCTCCTGCCACGGTAGTGCTGGTGGAAGATGGGCCCACCACACGCGTGGCCACCGACCGAGGCCCCGACCTCTCTCTGAGGCGCCCCGAGGGCACGCCCCTTACCAGCCTGGAACAAATAGCCCTATCCCTGTGCTGGGCACCTCCCCATCACGACGCCAATCTCAGGGGTTCCCCTTGCTTTTTGAGGGCGGATCCCTGAGATTGCCATCGCCTTTTGGCGTGTCAGCCTTAGGGATAGGGATAGGGATACGCTCGAGGCCTGGAACATGTCCCTATCCCTGTGCTGGGCACCTCCTCACCATCACGACGCCAATCTCAGGGGTTCCCCTTGTTTTTTGAGGGCGGATCCCTGAGATTGCCATCGTTTTTGGCGTGTCAATCTTAGGGATAGGGATAGGGATACGCTCGAGGCCTGGAACATGTCCCTATCCCTGTGCTGGGCACCTCCCCATCACGATGCCAATCTCAGGGGTTCCCCCTGCTTTTTGAGGGCGGATCCCTCAGCTCGTCGTCGCCTTTTGGAGTGTCAACCTTAGGGATAGGGATACGCTCGAGGCCGGCAAGTCCCGGGCGGCGGCGCCGTGGCCTCTCCGGGCCTCCCCTTCGAGCCGGGCCCCCGGGCACCACCGGGGCCGCCCGAGGGCGTGCTGCTGCAGCTTCCTGGTGTGCCGTGCTGGAGGCCCGGGCATGGGCACCGGTGGGCTCTCCGCGGGGGTACTGGCCATCGCTCGGGCGTCCCTTCCCTGCGTTTTTTTTTCGGTTTCGTGCGCGGTTTCTTCGCCAAATCATCAAGGATGCTCCTCGGTGGTCCTCGCCGAAGCAGAAATGCACACGTCCGAGCGATGCCAAGGGTAAGAGGATCCCAGATTTTGAGGCCGGCCGTAAACATTCGGCCACTTCGAGAGCCCGAACGTACTACCACGTGTTCGCCGAGATGGGGAGCCTCTTCCATCGGTGAAGGCACACCGCCGAACTTGGTGTTGGTGTCAACCTCTAGGCCTCCGACCTGACGTCTGTCCCGTCGTGCCCCTGTCCGCACCGAGCCTGCGTCAAATCCAGGTGAGCGACGAGCAAAAAAAAAGGTCGTACGCAAGATGGCATCGCGAAGGGTCGTACGCAAGATGGCATCACGACCTCGGGCTCACGCGGGCCGCCAGCGCGACACGCTGCATTGGCAACGGGAGCGAGTACGCGCGACCTTGCGCGGGAAACTTACCTGCCAATGCCGGCGCAGACGACCCCCTTTTTCCGACGCTCATGTTGGAATCCACGCCAAATCCGCGTCGAGCCCGCATGGAGCCCGCGTCGGGCACCAGAAAAGACACCAGCTCTGGGGGACAGACGAGGTCCCCGGACGATGCAACGCAGAGGACGGCTCGGGATAAGCAAAAGGCCCTGGGGAGGGGCTCGGGATGAGGAGGCGGCCCTGGACCTGGGAGACGTAAGACTCGGGTACGGGGGACTCGGGTTGGCCTGACGGGGCCATGATAAAATGACGAGGCCCACTCTGAAATTTGACGCAAGCTGCAGTTGCAGACATCCCACGTACACTAAACCGTCAAAATCCAAAACGCCCTCGTCAAACAGCGTCGGCGAACCCGAATTCCGGCTTACTCGAATCTTACGTTTCCCCGACTGGGGAGAGGGCCAGGATGTCCGGGCCCCCCCCGTGCTGGAAAAGCACAAAAAACGTCGGAGCGCGAGAATGGCCAACCTGTTCGTGATCCGGCGGCGGCGGCCACGCCTGTTTCTCGGCGGCGCACGCTCGGAGGCATGAGGCGGCTCCCCGCTGCCGCGGGCGCGCGCGACCAGAGCCTGACGGCCTCATAGCTGGGGACCGAGCAGATGGCGGCGAGGAAGCCACCGCATCGCCGAGGCATCGGTGGCGCCCTCCGCGTGGAGGAGCTCGGGCTCCACATCGAGCCGCCTCGCCAATGCATCGGCGATGCGGGGCGATCCTCCGACCCCTTCTATACTCCGACCCCATCTGGCAGGAGGAGGAGGAGCATTGAGCATTGAGATCCCCATTGCGAGTGCTGAGGAGGAGGAGGAGGAGGAGGAGGAGGAGGAGGAGGAGGAGGAGGAGGAGGAGGAGGGAGGAGAGGAGGAGGAGAGGAGGTGGAGGAGGGGGAGGAGGAGGGGGAGGAGGGAGGAGGAGGGGGAGGAGGGAGGAGGAGGTGGATGATGATGATAAGGAGGATGAGGAGGAGGAGAAGAGGAGGAGGAGGAGGAGGAGGGAGAAGATGGAGGAGATGGAGGTGGAGGGAGGTGGAGGTGGAGGAGGAGGAGGAGGAGGAGGAGGAGAGGAGGAGGAGGAGGAGGAGGGAGGAGGAGGAGGAGGAGGAGGAGAGAGGAGGCAGGAGGAGGAGGAGGAGGAGGAGGAGGAGAGAAGAACGAGGGGTAGGTGGAGGAGATGGAGGAGAAGTAGGGGGAGGAGGATCAGGAGGAGGAGGAGGAGAATGAGGAGGAGGAGATGGAGGATGAGGGAGGAGGTCGAGGAGGAGGAGGAGAGGAGGTGGAGGAGGCGGAGGAGGGGGAGGAGATGGAGGAGATGGAGGGAGGAGGAGGAGGAGGAGGAGGAGGAGGAGGAGGAGGAGGAGGAGGAGGAGGGGGAGGAGAAGGAGGTGGAGGAGGAGGAGGGAGGAGGGGGAGGAGGGAGGAGGACGGGGAGGAGGGAGGAGGAGGTGAAGGAGATGGAGGAGAAGGAGAGGGAGGAGGATGAGAAGGAGGAGGAGGAGGCAGAGATGGAGGATTAGGGAGGAGGTCGAGGAGGAGGAGGAGGAGGAGGTGGAGGAGGAGGAGAGGGGAGGAGGGATAGCTCTGGGAGGCCCAGGGCGCCTCGTCCCCCTCCTCTCCCTCCGGTCTGGGTGGCGCAGCCGCCCCCCGCGGGTCTCCTTCTCGCCCTCCGTCGCTGTCCAGGAGGGCTCGAGCGCTGGGGGAGCAAGGAGGGAGGTTTCCCCAGACCCCCGACGACACACGTTCGAGGCTCGGGACCCTGGACCTCGCGCCGGCATCTTCATCCTGGCTGGTCCGATCGCGGCCTCCCCCGATCTCCCACGGGGTGGCTTTCGCCATCCCAGTGGTTTTCCTCGATGCTGGCCTCTGGGGCTCGTTGTCGGGACCCGGGCGCGAAAACGGCCCCCGGGGACGGACAACCTCGCGCAGGGGATGCGGAAGGACCTCTGGGGCCGCACATTGAACACATCACATCGTCGATACCTGGGCCCAGAGGGCCCATGGGGAGGATACTCCCACCATGAGCGGCGGTCCTCTGGGAGGAGGCCCCCCCAAAGGGAAGGGGGATGACAGGAGGAGGAGGGCGAGAGGAACAAGTGGAAGGCAGGAGCAGGGAAGGATAACGAGGAGGAGGAGGAACATGGAGGAGGAGGAGGAGGAATAGGAGGAGGAGGAGGAGCAGGAGGAGGAGGAGGAGGAGCAGGAGGACGAGGAGGAGGATACGATACGATACGATACGAAAGCACTTGGGGCCGATCCATCCTTTGGTCACCTTGCCTCACTCAGCATAGAGGCCTTATAATATGGAGGTTGCGTCAGCAACATAATATGAAAGCAGATAAAAACTGCACAAAATTCGGGCCCTGTGCGGCGATAACGCCATCCTCTCAAATCCTGTGTGACGTGGCCCTGCGGCGGCCACATAACCGCTAGGCCGCGGGGAAAGCCGTGGCAGGGAAGGCCCTGCAGCCACCCCGCTGGCACTAGCCGCACTCTCAAGACTTCTTACCCTTCCCCCCCCCCACCTCACGCCGACCCCGCCTCCCACCCTTCCCCTTCTCAGTCGAGAGTGCTACTAAAGGAGGAGGAGGAGGAGCAGGAGGACGAGGAGGACGAGGAGGAGGAGGAGGAGGAGGAGGAGGAGCAGGAGGACGAGGAGGAGGAGTATGATGGAGTGGGAAGGAGGAGGAGGAGGAGGAGGAGGAGGAGGAGGAGGACGAGGAGGAGGAGGACGAGGAGGAGGAGGAGACAGGAGAAGGGAGGAGGCAGGAGAAGGGCAGACCTCCTTCAGGCTCCATAGTCTCTGGTCTCTGGAGGTCTTGGCGAGGAGGATGAACCTGGAATTAGGTCGGGCATGTCTTCCTGCAGGCGGACCTTGGACGGAACATCAAAAATCAAGAAATATTCCCAAATAGTTGGAAACAATCAAAAATCGTCCCCTGACTATTTTTGTCTATTTCTGAATATTCATGCTGTAGAGGGACAGGCACGACGTAAGCCTGGGAACCACACTGGAGCAGACTGCCAGGCCGCGCCGAGTCACACCGGCCGGTTGTCCGCGCCCTTCGCCAGTATCAGCTCGGGGTACGGCCTGCCCTGCCACTCCTCGTCGGCACAAGCGCAACAAGCTAGAGGCCTCCCAGATGGGGTCCGAGTAGATGGGATCGGAGGGTCGCGCCGCATCGGCGATGCATCGGCGATGCATCGACGATGCATCGGCGATGCACCGGCGATGCACCGGCGGTGCATCGGCGACGTCGGCGTGGAGAGAATCGGGCTCAGCATGGGGCTGCATCGCAGATGCGTCGGCGATGCGGCGTGATCCTCTGACCCCACCCGGGAGGGCCGGAGCACCGAGCGGGGGGGAGGGTAGAGGGCAGAAAATCCACCCCGAGAATAACCACCCTAAGAAGGAATCAAACAGGACAGGGCTGTTTAGTGAACGCCCAAGGCCGTTTCGTAAACGCCAATTGTCCGGTCTGGGTGCTTTTTCCTCCCTTGAGTGGGGCGGCGGAAGACAACACTCCTTCAGATCCGGGCGAAGAGACAGCAAAGCACCGTGGCAGCACTTCTCCTCCACGCTCTCCTTGGGAAGTGGCCTCCCCGGGCACCGACGCCACTCGTGACTGTTTCTGGCGGCCGTCTCCGGGCCCGGGGAACAGTAACAAACTACAGTCGGACTTCATTGGACAGGACACGCGAGAGGACAACTGACCCTTCCGAAGGCCACACTGCAATAGGAATGCAGGAGGCATGGGTCGCGAGACACAGGACATAAAGGTACCCTTGACTTGGCATGGTCGACCTACTAATCGGGGCCAACTGTTTTGAATCGGAAGACCCGGACACAAAGCTGCCATGCACACACACAACATGGGGCTCGACCACAAGAAACCTTTCGCAAAAAACCCAACCTTGAGACGTCAGGACGTCCACTGTTTTTTGGTGTGGGTCCGTCACGCTTTCCATAGCCATGCCATCGAGACCCAAGAGACCAAGGGCACCTTGGAGGCGAGCAGGGTGCTTCTTGGCATGGGCTTCCACTGCAGGTCATTTGAACATGCGACGTCGGAGGAGCGGGCTTATGGCTTATGAAAGGCGAGGAGCAGCTCTGACCCGAGAGGGTGCGCTCGGCCAGGCGCCTAGGGCTTCACCCAAGACCACCCCGATAACTATGCCGCCCAGATCTGCTTCCTGGAGATCCCACCCCCACCCCCCGCAGGGGCCGCCAGGCCTCTGCATGCCGGAAGGGCGAATGACGAGGTCGGTGTAGCTGGGCTCGAACGAAACCGTGGTTTCCGTCTTCGCAGTGTCTGAGATTGCTCCTAGCTTGCCGTCGCTCGGACGTCCACTCCCCGTGCATTTTTCGGTCCCGTGCGTGTTTTTGTTTGCTCGATCGTCCAGGATGGTCCTCGATGGCTCTCGCCGAGAAAACATGCACACGTCCGAGCGATGCCAAGCTAGACCAAATCGTCGCTCCACGGCGGCTGCACAACAGCACCAAAACGAACGAAGACGGTCCAGGAAATCGTCAGTACACAGTTCGGCTCGCTCGCGCTCTGCAGTGCGGGATCGCGAGGAGCAGGACGAAAGGGGACGCGGTGCTAACATGTGCCGGTCGCTGGGGGAAGTGTGAGGAGAGGGCCATCAGGTTTCCAGTGACGAGGCAAGCGAGCAGGCCTAGAACCCAAGCCATTCATCGTGGAACTTGCCATCGCTCGGACGTCCATTCCTCGTGTATGTTTCGATGTCGTGCGTGCTGTCTTCGCTGGGTCAGCCAGGATGCTCCTCCGTGGTCCTCGCCGAGGAACAAATTGCACACGTCCGAGCGATGCCGAGAGAACACAAGTCATGCATCCTGGCCCACGGCGCGGCGGGACCTCCCGGCATGCCTGAATCCTTACCCCGCGCATGGCGTTTTCCCGCACCGGGCGCCCCGGGCCTCTGAGACGCTTCCTGTACAGTCGGGGCGTTGACCTAAGGAACCCTAAATAAGGAACGAGGCCCCTTGTTCCCATAAATTAAGTAGTGATTCCCCGTGGAATACGAAAGGAAAACCCAAGTCAAACTGTACAACAACCAAGGAACACCGAGCCCCTCCCGAACGAAAAGAGTTTCTTCTCCAGCGCCCCGACTGTAGACGACCCTCTGAGACGCTTCCTGTGGACGACCTGCCCCTCCCGAGTCGATATAGTCTTCCCCGACTGTCCCGGGGGCAGGGACCTGCGACCAGAGACGAACAAACAAGGAACACCGACGTCGACGCGTGTCCTCTTGGGACAAGGTTTGGGTCGGGCGCGTCCCCCGACTGGCGGATTTCCGAAGGCAAAGACTTGAAAAAATGACCAACAGTAGTCAAACAAAACCATCGTCCCCAGACTGAATTTTTGTTCTGTGTGACTACTCTTGAATTTTCCCGCTGTAGAGGGACACGCCCGACTTGAAACCAGGTTGGACGCCTGGGAGACGCGCGGCTCAGTGCGCACAGGGGAGGCAGGGCGGAGCGGGGCCGTGCTGGGGGCCCAGGGTGCGCCGGGGAGCGGTCACAACGTCGGGAGGTGTCTGGCGTCAGGACGGGCGTGTCCTCCTACAGGCGAGTCCAGGACGGAAGATACCAAAGAACAGCGACACCAAATAGTCAGACGAATGCTAAACAACAATGGGCATTTTGTTTTGACTATTTTTGAATAATTCCTCCTGTAGAGGGACGCGTCCGACTTCAGGCTGGCGGTAGAGGCAACACTAGCTGCACGAAACAGAACAAGAAACAACTCCATAAACACAAACTTGTGGCACTCCGCGCGGATTTGCTGGACCCGCGCTGGATCCCCCCTCCCTGGCGCGCGGAACGCGCCAGGGGCGGCGCTGGAAGCGCTGCCAGGGACGCAGATCCAAGAAACCCGCGCGAAGCGGCAAAAGTTAATGTATATGGAGCTGCTTCTGCTCTGTTTCGTGCAGTTGGTGTTTCCTCAACCGCCAGCCTGAAGTCGGGCCTGTCCTTCTAATGGAGAAATATTTTAATATGGTAAGGGGGCGATGGTTTAAAAACTATGTTTGACTATTTTTGAATAATTGTTTTTCTTTCTTTCTCGAGAACCAGATTTCGTAAACCTCGATGCCCTGCCCAGGGACGCAGACAGCCGACCTCTCGACCGGAATCCTACCGCCGCGCTCGGGCCTCACAAGGGCTGTTTGTTGTTTCGCATCCGGTGACAATCAACAGAAAGGCCAAGATGAAACAGAGCAGGGACCGACCTTCCTCTACGCCTACCACTAAATGTTCTTAGAACCCCAAAATGTCATAATAACACAAAAACTCTGTTCTTACAGCATATATCCAATGTGTTAAAACAAGACAGTCCCAGCCAGAAATGTTCTAAGAACATCTCGTGGAAACCACAAGAAGTTCTTAGAACATTGTTTGGTAGGCCAATAGGCACGCCAGGACGCTTCGCCACTGCTTGACTGGGGGAACTGTCGACCGAGACTGCCAGGGACCCCGTGCGCCGGCAGGTGCAGGACGGCTCAGAATCCGACTGCCGGCGCGCAATAGACAGGCCGTGGCGAACAACTCCCGGGGTGCGGTGCCGATCAGGACGCTTGTTTTGCAGGTCCCTGACGGGGGGCGACATCCCACGAGGGCACCTCGGACACAGCACCGCAGCCCTAAAAGAGACACACAAAACACGACTCGCAGAGGGCAGACCCCGAGGAGGCAGATCCCCGTGCGCCGCAGACGGCCCAAGAGGGCCCAAAGAGAGCTCCGAGAGCGGGCCCAGATGGGGAAGCCGAGCGGACATTTCGAGCCCTCGGCCCCGAGTTGCCCCCATGAGCCCCGAAGAGGCCCCCATAAGGGCCCCCAAGAGGCCCCCAGAGCCCCCAAAGGGGCCCCAAGAGGGCCCCAGGAGGCCGCCTCCAAAACTGCGCCCACGAGGACCCCGGGAGCGCTCCGAAGAGACCCCAAGAAGCATCCCTGAGAGCTCCGACGCCCCAACACAGGCAGTGTGGCGGGATGGGCCGAAGGCCATTCGACTCTGAGAGGGGCCCTGGGACACACAAACAAATACACACAAATCACATGATCTCCAATATTATCCGATCTTTTCTGGGTATTTGTCTTCCCCCCACTTCCCATATTTTCCTATACTTCTTGGGGAATCGACGATTCCTTGTCTGTGTGTTTGTGTTTTCTCCCCTCCGGATCACTTTCAGTCCGACTGTCCTTGCCGCTCTCCGCGCACGCGTAGCCGAAGCAGGTCAGGTGGGCCCAGCCGGCCTCCGCAGGAGAGACCCGCCGCCCCGCGAGCTCCGAGGCGGGGCAGAACGCTCCTCCTCCCCAGGGCTTCTCGTTTGTTTTCGTTTTGCTTTTCGTTTTGCTCTCCCTGTTTTCCTGTACCCCCCTGCCAAAACGAAAACCAAAACACAGCCGAAGTCCAGCCACCTCCTCCTCGACCCCCCTCCCCCCCTCCCCAGACCTCCCCATCGGGGATCTTCTGACCGACGGTCAGTCTGGACCCGGGTCGGTCAGGGCCTGCAACAAAACCCTGCGGGATCCTGCAAGATCCTGCGCCCGAGCCCAGGGTCCATGCGCAAGGCCCTGCAAGGTCCTGCAGGATCCTGCGCCCAAGTCCAGGTCAATGCGACCCTGGCCCTGCAGGATCCTGAAAGATCGGGGGCCCGGGCCGACCCCCCCTTGCATTGACATCACCCTCAATCTGGAGCTTGGAAAGGGGTGTGGCACAACGGGGCGTGGTGCCAATCGTGGAAATGGAGATGCTGTCCATGATCGATAACACTGCCGGATTCAGCATTGGCACCACACCCCTTTATGCCACACCCTTTTCCGACCTCCACCCGTAAGGCTCCCGATCCCCTCTCTCCCTCTGCCTCTCTGGTCGTGTCCCCTCCGACTCCCTCCTCGCCAAGCCAGACCGCGATTGTCTTCGCAGCGCAGACCCCCACGTGGCCTCGGCCCCAGACACCCCCCCACCGTCAATTGTTTGTTCACCCTGGAGCGCTGCTTGACGGTCCCGGGGCCGATGTCCCAATGATAGCAAAATTGTCTTGCAATTCGGCCTGGAAGTTGTCTTCACGGGGCCCCCAGGAGGACCCAAGAGTGCCCAAGAGGAGGAGGAGGAGGAGGAGGAGGAGAAGGAGGAGGAGGAGGACGAGGAGGAGGAAGGGGAGAAGTGGGGAGGAGGACGAGGAGAAGGGGGAGGGGGAAAAGCTAGGTGCGCTCGCGTCATGTCTGGCGTCCTACCCCTCCCTCCCATCCCTTAACATTGCGCAGATCTCCCCTTTAGCACAGCTGGATGTCGACCAGGGCAAGGATCGCGAGAGGGTGCGCGATGCATCGTAGACCACGGTCTGGCATGGCATACAAGAGCACGGCAGAGCGTATAATGTCATAGCATGGCGTGGCATTGCGTAGTGAAGCATTTCATTACAAAACATTGCAACGCAAAGCATGGCACCTCACAGCGGCGCAAAACAGAACACCACACAGCATGTTATGGCAGGGCACCAGGTTCCTTGGATGGTAAGCGGATTATCTTCGAAGAGTCGGGGTCGGTCTGGAGTCGCGGCTCCACGTTTGGCTCCCCAGGCTCCGCGACAAGCTCCGCACAAGGCGGGGCTGATGGAGAGCAACCGCTGGCTCTGCTTGCAACATCGCCTTCTGAAAGCAGAAACAGAACTCCCACTTGATACTTCCTCCAAACGCCGCCGCCCCGAAGTGGGGGATGCCTTCTGCGGCCTAAACGCTCAACGAATCGACGCCGGATGTGGAATCACTTGCACCCTTTTCCTGGGGATGTTTTTCAAACTGTGGGGTCTAGTTGGAAGCACCGGAAAAGCCCGCGCTGCAGCGGGAGCACGTTTTGGAACAACCAGAGGCGCAGAAATGGGGCCAGTGATGCAGCGGGAACGACATTTCGAAGGACCGACAAGAATCGGATTGCCAAAAAACATATGAAAACCAGGAAATGAGGCCAGCGCTGCAGCGTGAGCACGATTCGGAACGAGCGGAAGCGCGGAAATGAGGCCAACGCTGCAGCGGGAGCACGATTCGGAACGAGCGGAAGACCGAAAATTAGGCCAGCGCTTCAGCGGGACCAGCATTTCGAACAAAAAACCATAGCGAAAACCCAGTTCCCAGGAATCCAGCGTTTCAACAAAAACAATATGCGGAAGGGCCGAATATCTTCCCGACCATGGGGGAAAGAGGAGGTTAGTAACCGAGTGCCCCCGATAACAAATCAACCCCCCTCCCTTTCCCCCCTGAGTGTTTATTATCCCGTGTCAACAGGATTAAATTGTGGAAAATGGCGCGGAGGCCGAACTTGATAATCCCCGGGGGAATTTGCGAATCGAAGTTGCTATCATATTATGTCGACTAGCAACAGCATCAAAAACGCTGAGCATGGCAATGGTGGTCTCATTATTTTAGCTTTCGCATTCACGAGCATGTGGCAGGGTTATGGGATTCTCATCGTTTCAGTTTTCCCAGGTCACGAAGGTGCGGCAGGGCCATGGGATTTTTCTTCCTCTCAAATTCTTCCCCTCCTCCCCTTGTCCCCCCCCCAATCAACCAACTTGTTTATCCTGTTTTTTATTTCCGAAAGGTGCCCACCATGGACACCCCCACATGCGAGATGGAACACGACTCAAAAAATCACTTTAATTACGCTACCGAGGAACCCCACATACTTATATCATGGCTGGAGTGATGATAGCTGAAGTGAAGCATGTGAGAATGATTTTCGTGGCCGTTGCCCCGCCGATACCGTTGGTGACGCCAGTCAAAGAGGAGAGGAGGGAGGAGAGTGGAGACGAGATCAGATAAGTTGTTGTTCGATACGCATGGAAAGCGATCTGCGGCGCCCACGAGGCAACGAACACTATGGAACGCGATCTTCGGCGGAAAGCCTCTGATCAGATGTGAGAGAAAGACACATGCGAAGGAACGCAACCTTCGGCGAAAAACCTCTGGCCGCGTCCAAGAGATAATCAAACACGAACGCTGCCTTCGGCAGAAAGCCTCTGACCGCGCCTCAAGCCAATGCAACATATGACAAATCGCCTCGACAGGCGGTTGCGGTAGCAGTAAAACGCAATCATAATTCCATGAACACATCGGTGGCCCCTGTCGCAGGGCCCAGCCGAATGATCGACTATCCGTGACTCGCACTTGGGCCCTCGTCACAGGAGGCGCGCGTTCTGGATCGGCATCTGGCGCTGCGCCGGGGACAGCGTCGGGTACGGGCGGGGTTATCGCAGGGATGCTTCCGCGGGCGGGGTGGCGGAACAACGGCATATGTTGTTGAATGGCAGCGCGCTGGATGTACGGCTGGCGCGCCACGTCGTCTGTGAATGGACCCAGCCGGCTGCGCCATATAGTACAGCCACCGCCTGTCCCAACCAGGGAGCCATAACCCAATCATGGACAGCAGCCTGTGGTCGTACACGACGAGATCGAAAGAAAGGTACGAGAGAAGCTCATGCTCTTGATCGTTCATTCGCAAGTGGGAGAAGGCGGATGACAAGGGAGTTCGAGCCGCAGTGGGCTTGACCGTTCCAGAGGAGGCGGAAGAAACGGGGAGGAGGGGGGGGGACGAGGGTGGAGGAGATGGGCATAGAAGAAAGTGCAGGATCGACTGACTCGGATAGCGGCCGTGTTCAGACACCACCACCTGCGGACCCCGAAGGTTGCGAGAATATGCCACGCTTGCTATGCCCTGGACGACAGGCTCGGACAGCGGCCGCGCTCAGAGACGACGCCCGGCGCACCCCCCTTTATGGCGTCGAGAAAGTGCCACGCCTGCTATGCCCAGGACGACTGGCTCGGATAGCGGCCGCGCTCAGAGGCCACGCCCTACGCACCCCGTGTGGTGTCGAGAATATGTCACGCCCGCTATGCCCTCGAGGACCCGCTCGGATAGCGGCCGCGTTCAGAGACCACCCCCTGCGCACCCCGTAAGGTGTGGAGAAAGCGCCAAGCCTGCTACGCCCTGGACGATGGGCTCGGACAGCGGCCGCGCTCAGAGACCACCCCCTGCGCACCCCTCTATGGCTTCGAAAAAATGCCACGCCTGCTATGCCCCAGACGACTGGATCGGATAGCGGCCGCGCTCAGAGACCGCCCCCTGCGCACCCCTACGGTGTCGAGAAAATGTCACGCCTGGTACGCCTTGGACGACCAGCTCGGATAGCGGCCGCGCTCAGAGACCACGCCCTACGCACTCCCCATGGCGTCGAGAATCTGTCACGCCTGCTTTGCGCTGGACGACAGACTCGGATAGCGGCCGCGTTCAGAGACCATGCGTGCCTTGCCCCCCCCCCCCATATGGTGTCGAGAAAGTGCCACGCCTGCTATGCCCAGGGCGACTGGCTCGGATAGCGGCCGCGCTCAGAGACCACCCCCTGCGCACCCCCTGTGGTGTCGAGAATATGCACCGCCTGCCACGCTTTGCGAGCCCGCAAAGGAGGTGAGTGAGCTTCGCGGGTGGGACGCGGGAGGGGGAAACTTGCGACCAGGGTACTTCTGCCCAATGGCGGTCCGTCTGGGCCGGCTCAGGGGACAGCTGAATGCGAGGTGTGCCTGTGGAGCGAACAGAGGTGGCAAGCAGAACTGCTGGGGACCGCCGAGGAGTGAATGCCTGCATTGGCGTGCACTTGATAGGCGTGTCCTGCGCGGGCGTGGCAACGCCCCCGTTGCCGGCGTCGCCGACCCGCCGAACTTTCGCCAACGGCGAGCCATCGCCATCCTCCGCACCACCCCCCGGCTGATCAGCTGGGAGCCCGCCGGACGAAGGGTTCAGCAAGTGCGCAGACGAGCACTGCCTCCTGGCATCGTCGGCGCCTTTTGTTCGCGGCAACTCATTGTACCTGGCGAGGAGCGTGTCAGGCCACCAGTTTGCCAGCTGTCGGTGGTAAGCATCAAATGCACGGTGTACCAATGCGTTCCCATGCCGGACAACATATTTTCGCAAACCATCCAGGCTCACATCAACGCCCATTTCTTGCATTGATTGCTTGAGCTGCTCGCAAGGCGGTGGCGCAGCGGACATTGCGCATTTGGGCGCCATGACGGGGGCCGTACCTTTGACGGAGAGTCACCGGCGGCCGTCCGCGTTCACTATGAGCCCGCATGAGCCAGGGTGGCTACAATTCTTGATGATGATGATGATGCTACAGCGCCGTCGTCGTCGTCGTCCACTTGAGCGCCGATGGCGAACCCGCGCTCCCCTATCGAGAGAACGCGCTCGAGCGGCCGAA